AAAGAAATTTGGCAACAGAAAAAATTCATAGGAGTCATAGGAGAAGTAACAATGCCAATGGAAATTTCGGAAAGCACGGTGTGTAGATGCACCGTTAAAGCATAAGTAATTTTAGCATCCATACAATAAATGATCCTAGGTATGGAATTTCTAACAGAAAATAAGGCTATTATAGATCTACCACGGAAGCTGCTTATACTGAATAATGTATACAAGATACCCCTACACCAAGATCTCAAGGAAAAAATCAGTATGTCTAGCCTCATCACAACAACTCAACCGATAAGCAAACAAGCAGGACGAAAAAGATGAAAAATAATTTGACAAATTTCTCAGAGCCCATTCACAGATAAAAAGAAGCTTCTAAAACAGCTTCCTAAAAGAAGAAATCAAACACAGACACCAGGTACATAGCAATACCACCATGGTGTTCGGGGTAACACGAAACTACAAAACAAAGAAAACTGTCTACAAATTCTACAGACACATGCAGGGCACAGTCGGGCAATTATCAGTAATAAACCACGACAGAAACTCAACAGTGTTCGGTAAGAGGGACAATGCAGACAAAACCCACATCAAGAAACATGTATAAATTTTTGACAGTACTGAGAGAAAGCATAAAAGAGCAACCCTTCAAAAAACTGATATTTCCCAGACAAGGAGGAGGACTGGAAAAAGAATGAGAAAGACTCAAACAGATGCTGTAATTTGTGTTCAAAGACACGGGAGTCGAAGTCAGCATCCAGAGAGTTCAACCAGACTTTCGGAAGATAGAGTTAAAAATTGAAGATGAAATTAAGCCTCTAATGCAAATAGTCATGGACACCCAAGAAAAAGCAGATAAAATAGGAGTTAAAAAGGACTACACGATAACACAGAATAAGATAAAGACAATAGAATTGGCAACACCAGCAACCTAAACGAGACAGTGGGCTACAAATGTAAATATAATTTAAATTGGCTGGCAAAAAATCGACTGACACTGAAAACACACATTTATACAGTTAGGGCCTCATTATTAAAGTACAATCCAACACAAGAAATCCAATAGCTTTATACGCAGGAACCACGATAGCATTTTTAGAGGAACCGGAATACGAAATCCCCGCCTATCACCTAGTAACACAGGAAGAAATTGTGAAACAGGAACAGACAGAAGCAGTAACACTAGGCGAAATTAAATTGCCACTAGAAAAACTACTACTGGAGTATAATGACGTTTTTGCCAAATCAACAAAGCACAAGGGAAAGACAAATCTGACAGAACATAAAATAGAAGTAGGGTAAGCAAGTCCAATGAGAAGCCGTCCGAGTATCCAAGAAAGAAAGGCAAATAATCGACGAGCAAATGAAAGAAATGCTAGACAGCAATGTAATAAGGCCTTGTCATTCAGGCTAGTCCGGTGGTCCTAGTGAAGAAAAAAGATGGAAAAATCTGTTTTTGCGTCGACTACGTAAAAATAAACCGTAACAAAGAAATCATCATACTCTCTAACCACAAATCGACGATATTCTGCCATATTTCGGAAATGCATTCTATTTCAAAACTCTTGGTATGTTTTCTGGATACTGGCAGGTACCCGTCGAAGAAAGCTCCAAACAGTATACCGCATTCGTAGCACAAGGTCACGGATCCTACGAATTTAATGTTCTCAGCTTTGGACTATGTAACGCTCCCGCAACCTTCCAATATTTAGCTGACCACGTTTTTTGGGACATGAAATGGAAGGAAGTATTCATTCATCTTGGCGACATAATATTTTCCCGAATGTTCGAAGAGCACTTGGCAAAATTAAGAAAAGTTTTGGAAAAATTACGACAGGCAAACCTAACTCTAAAACCAAGCAAATGCGAGTACGAAAAGAAATAAAAATCCTGGGTTTTAATGTGAATGAAAAGGGCATACTATCAGACGAAGATAAACTGGTATGCGTAAGGAACTTCCCAACTCCAAAGAAAATTAAAGATGTACAAAGCTTTCTAGGATTATGTAATTTTTCTAGAAAGTTCATATCCAACTTCGCAGCAATAGCAAGACCATTACATGACGTAAAGAAAAACATAGGGTTCTAATGGGGCACAAACCAGAAGGAAGCTTTCAATACTCTTAAGGAAAAACTTCTAGCAGCACCAGTACTAAAGCACTTTGACCCAAATAAAAATACTGTTTTACACACAGATGCAGTAACATGTGGAACAACACACGTAACATCCAATAGCCTATATAAGTCGAAGTCTATCAAATAGCGATTGAAATTTTTCAATAAGCGAGTTAGAGCTATAAGGTGTAGTATGTGTTCAAGTTCGTTTATAATAGTGGACTGTATCGATTGTTAGGCCTGGTTCAGCCTCTTCTATCGTTAAAATAAAACAATTCCTTTCGAAAAACTGAATAAACTAAACTTTAATTTTAAAAATTACAAGAAATTGCTAAGTTTGTAATGAGAATTCGAAAAGAAATGCGTAAAAAATCGGAGCACCACTCGCATGTATGTTCTGCGAAGGGTTCTCGAGTACTGGCTGTTCAGCTAGACCGCCGCTGTTCCTGGGACACATTGTTGCAGAAGGGCTCGTCGTTCCTCGGCACCGCACTACCTCTTAAAAGTTTTATTCGCATTTTCTTTTGTTGGATGCCCGGTTGTCAAGTTTATAAAATTTCTGAACAGTATGGGCCCTAAGCTATCTAAGACATTTATTCTACGGTAGACCAGTGAAAATTATAACAGACCACCACGCACTATGCTAGATGGATTCTATCAAGGAGACCAACAGACGTCTAGCCAGATGGCCATTCAAGTTGGCAGAGTTTGAGTACACGGTTGAATACAAAAAAGGCTCAACCCACAAAGATGGAAAGATGTTGATTGTATGTCCCGCAACCCAGTCTTGCAACCCGATTGCAAGAATAAGGACTCAGGAAGGCAGTAGAAAACCTGGACAATTCAAATACTAACATCGGATCAAGGAGAAGAGCGAAAAAGTTTACGATCGAGAATGATCTAACAAAGTAAGCAAAACACAAAAAGGCCTCAGCAAGGTACTGGTGGTACCAAAATCAATGAGGGAGGAGATTCTGTGGGAACTGCACGCGTCACTGATATGCGGCCACTAGGGTTGAGCAAAACAACAGATAAAATACAGAACAAATTCTTCTGGGACGGAATGCTTAAAAACATCGAGAAATACGTTAAAGGGTGTCCAGAATGTCAGTCGAGAAAGGGCCAACCATACAGAAAGACGCCGGTCCTCTTATCACCAAGACAAGTAGGCACGATTTTTGACAAAATTGGCATTGATATACTAGGTTCGTTGAGAAGAAGCAACCAAGGAAAACAATGATAGTAGCAGTCACAGACTATGCATCAAGATACGCCATCACTGCAGCACTGCCTCATGGGAAAACAGGACCAGTAGCGAAATTTTTACGAGAGAAAGTATTTCTAATATACGGGATGCGACGACACATGCTGAGTGAATAGTGATAGAGGAAAAGTCTGCCAGTCAGAGCTAGTGCGGGAAATAGGAGATATAATGGGAGTAAGGAGACAGTTAACGACGGCATATCACCCATGCTGTAACGGCCTAACAGAAAAAGTGAATAAGACTATAGCAGATATGTTATCGATGCATTGCAACACACAACAGACGGACTGGTGCAGCTACCTACCATTTATGACATTTGCATACAACACAGCCACATAGGACACAACTCGATTCAGTCTGTTTATGCTAACTTTCGCAAGAGAACCCATACTACCTGCGGAGGCAACTCTTATGAACGCTGAGGAAGGAAGAGATTCACTCCAGGGAAAAGGCACTCTTGATAAGAGCTATAGCGGTGGAAAATATAAATAAAAGGAAAAGAAAAGATAGGGAGCGATTCTACGAGAGATTAAATTTTAAGGTAGGAGACAAAGTGAAAGTATTTAACCCAATAAGAAAGCTTCGCAGCAGCGAGAAGCTGCTTTTGAGATGGTTTGGACCATAAAGTTATTAAGAAAATGGGAGAACTAAATTTCGGGGTAGAAAAAATTGGAAGCAATAAGAGGAATAAAGATACGGTCCACGTAAGTAGGATGTTGCCTTACAACGACCCGTGGACAGAGGCGCTCCTATGGAAGGAATCAATGGAGATTCAGAAGATGAGATAAATATGGAAAACAGTGCGTCGGAAGTAGATTTCGATAGTGATGAAAGAAACAAGTTAGGTTGAAAAAGGATACACAGAACCGGACTTTTTTGTTGACTGAATAATAATTCACCCATTCCCATCCCCTTTTATATGTTGTATAAATCTCGTTATGTGATATTTTTAGATTTAAGTATATTTTATTATTGATTATGATGGTGGCTCTTCTATAGCATTGGGGTCCAATGCTTTTCAGAGGGGGAGCATATATCAACAGGCAACGCTACCTTGGAAAATATGACCCTGTATATGATTGACCAACTTATTTATTGGCGAGTCAGCGATCAACGCATATAAATAGTGGCCGGCAACCGGCAACACACGGATAGGCAGATTTGAACCAGCGCAATTACCTCTTTTGGGAAAGCTCCTCTGGCCTCAAGTCTCCACCCAGCGCAATTACCTCTTTTGGGAAAGCTCCTCTGGGTGTCTTCAGTCTTAGTGTCGTCCAGTGCAATTACCTCTTTTGGGAAAGCTCCTCTGGACGGCTTTTTACTTTAACGATAATCGCACCTAACGTAGCTTCGTGTCTTTCAGGTAGCTCTTCCTGCAAGGAGTACCATAGGGCCAACCTTTGGTAATTACCTACTATTATAACCCTTACAATATACCCTTAATTAAATACCAAGCCAGTCTCTATATCCTCCTGACCCTACGCTACGTACCCCGTCACGACAGGATAAACTTGTGACAATATTATTATTTCTATGTTTAACTCTCTAGTGCAATAAGTCTTTTTGATAGTTTGGTCTTGCATCAAGACAAGTTGCCTACATACGTATAACAAAGTTATTTTTATTTTCCCCAGGTTTACCAGAATTTTATTGAAGAAAAACCCTGTTCAGAATCCTACGTATTACTAGGTGACGCTTACATGAAAATCCTAGAACCAGACGAGGCTTTGGAAAATTATGAAAAAGCTCTTAAAGAAAATTCTTCTGATCTTTATCTTACAACCAAAATGGGCAAAGCCTTAGTGGAAACTCACTACTTTAATAGAGCTGTAGAGTATTACAAGAAGGCCATCCAAGAAACTAACGATTCCGAATTAAAGTTACAATTAGCTGATTTATATCTCAATCTCAAACAGTATGAAAATGGGGAGGTACTGTTACTAGATGAACTTGAAAACGATACAGGGAAGCTTAATATGGAGGATATTGGTAATTTACTTTACAGGTACCTAAAAAAAATATATTATTTACTATTACTCATAATATACCTATTTATTAGGGCAAAATTATATTATCTTCTGTCACAAATACAAGAAAAATCTGGCAATTTCACATACGCAATCAAAAGTCTTAAAGACTCAATGCAAAGCCAAATAAGGGTCAGAAAAAGAATTGCTGTAGAGCAAAATGGATCTACTGACGAAATTGACAAGCAATTGATAAACATTTCCATGAAACTAGGAGAAATGGCAATTGCAATGAAAAACAACGACCAGGCAATCAATTATTACAAAGACGGCCTTAACGTATCACCAAATAATATCTCGATTTTGGTAGCTCTAGCAAAATTGTACATGCAAATGAATTATTTGGAACTTTGTCAGCAAACGTGCGCTATCATTTTGAGAATCGATCCGGAAAATGAAACAGCTTCAGTCATAATGGCTGATATTGCTTTTAGAAAGGTCGATTTCGATATGGCACTGTTCCACTTCACCCAATTAATTTCCAAACAACCCACCAACTGGAACGCTTTAATCCGGACAATAGAAATTTCGAGACGATTAGGAAACATCCAGGAATGCGAAGAATATTTGGACAAGGCTGAGAAGCATTGTACGAATTCTCTAAAAGAGCCAGGTAGTGATAGTAAACTAATGACTTATTTTCAACTCACTTTGTTTTTTTTTTTGTAGGTTTTCTCTATTGCAAAGCCTACTACCAATGGCACTCGGGAAATAATTTGAATGCAGCATTAAAAAATTTCAACCAAGTCCGTCAAGATCCAGAATATGGCACTAACGCTCTCTATAATATGATTGAAATATGTCTTAATCCTGATGGTGAGATGCTTGCTGAGCAATTTATGGATAGCGATGATATTGAATACAGAGATTCTAGATCATTAGCTTTAAAGACAGGTAAGAATTAATGAAAAATTTGTATCTTGAAACTCAATAACTATATTTTTAATAGCTGAGAGGCTTATAAAAGAGCTAAAACAACGTCTAGAATCCAATGGTGAAGACTTACTCAAATATCGTCTCCTATCAAATTTCCGTTTATTAGCCACAAAGGAAAAATACAACATTGAACGTGCTCTAGAAGATTTCGTAGCTATAGCTTCATACAATCCTAGCAAAGAAAATCTGGGAGCTATTTTAGGCATGTCGACAGCCTACACCTTATTAAAGCAACAACAGCGTGCTAAGAATCAGCTTAAAAGACTTGTAAAACATGCTTGGAATTTCGATGACTCTGAATACTTGGAAAAATGCTGGTTACTTCTAGCTGACCAGTACATTCAAAACAACAAACTCGAGTCAGCCAATGAATTAATAACAAAAGTTGTCCAGCACAATAAAGCTTGCATAAAAGCTTTTGAATTGTTGGGATATATAAGCGAAAAGGATCACAGATACAAAGAGGCGGCAAATAATTATCAGCAAGCTTGGAAAGTGGGACAAAAAGCTAATGTCAATATTGGATTTAAATTAGCCTATTGTCTGATGAAGTGCAAAAAGTATCCCGACGCCATCGATACTGCAAATGAAGTTTTAAAACTGAATCCAGATTATCCGAATGTTAAAAAGGATATTTTGGATAAGTGCGTAAATAATTTGAGGATTTAAATCTGCTTTAGTAGAAATGTTCAATAAAATGGTTAAAATTATATGTATTGCAAATGTATTGTGTAAACGTACTCATTTAACACCAAGTCGTGGGAATTTTGTGAATAATGAAAGTTCTTAAAACAAAATTAGCAATAATTTTCCAATTATCTCATTATTAATGCCATTGGTTTTTATGAATACAATAAGACAAGTTGTTTATTATCTGTTATTACATTGCAAAGTAGGCAGTAGCAACACTATTAAATGTCAATTGTATAGTTTTAAAGATAACTTCTTAGTATGTTTTATTTTATTTATTTGAATAAACCATTTCACAAGTAATTATGTAAAAACAATATGGGATTTATTTCATCCATTAGTGATAATGAAGGCAAATATAGTGAATTTAATACCCGTTTATCAATTCAATTCCTTAAATCTAAATTCAAACTTTTGCTATACTTAACAAATTATTTATCGATACCAATATTCTAATAGGACGTATCCCACAACTTTTGGGATTTAGCGTTTTCAATGAATATGAGTTCAATGGGTCTTTAATTCTAGTATATCGTATGAAACATTCAACTGAAAATATTATAGTATATATATATATATATATATACAAAATCCTATCATTGCTGCGTCCATAAACTTCCTCAACACATACACTATTGCTTCCTTCGAATTACTGCGTCCGAATATCGGACGCAACAATGTCAACTCATGTTTTTGTGACTTCCCGTCAATTTTTAAACAAAATTTAGGCGCCAACAGGTGACAGAAGTTTCTAAGTTTCCTTTCCACAATAAAAAGTGGAAGCATCTATTGGGATTTTTATGATTTTACTGGATTTTCTGTTTGGTAGTGGACGCAATAATATTCGTGTTATAGATAAAAATGTATACTATTAGTTCATCGATTCTCCGGTAGAGGTGCGAAAATAATATACAGAGTCAAGTATACAGTATATAAACCTAGTATGTTATTGCGTCCGAAGCTTGGCAACATGGCAATCTATTTTTAGCTCGGGATTTTTGTGTGGTGTGATGTTTTGTATCGTGTCATCATTTTAGCAGAAGCCAAAGCCATTGTTGCTTCCAGTCAGCAAATATGAAACGAAGTGTGAGAATATTAGGTTTATGCTACAGAGGACCCAGAGAGTCATAATAATATACAACTTTTTTAACAATAATAGTGTAGGTGCTGGATGGAGTTCGAGAGGTCATAGCTGCTTTGAAAATATTATGCCCTAAAACACTTGCTATGATTTGTATTTAATTTGTAAGTTTTGATGAAATATTAAAATATTAGTATCAAATAGGTTGCATTTTAATATCTTTGTAATAGTATTTCTACAATTTTTTTTTTCTTCATATACTTATATCGCTGGCATCAGTGAACTTCAACGCAAATATTGAATTTCTAAACTCAAAAACAATCGAATGAAGCCGCGTATAATAGCTGGGTTCGGTAATTGCATCTGCGAGCGAAGTGAGCAAAATTTGACAGACGTCACGTGATCACTTATCTCTTTTCGCGTGTCAATTATCGAACCCAGCTATTATACACGGCTTCATTCAATTGTTTTTGAGTTTAGAAATTGAATATTTGTGTTGAAGTTCACTGATGCCAGCGATATAAGTATATGAAGAAAAAACTATAGAAATACTATTACTGAGATTTAAAAATGCATACTATTTGATAGTGATATTTGAATATTTCATCAAAAATTACAAATTAAATACAAAACCTAGCAGGTGTTTCACATTCAGAATGTGTTAATTTGTGTCTATTTAAACTTTCTGTTTGAATTTTGCATTGCAAGTGTCACATTCAAATGGATAAATATCCGACTGTGTTAGTCTGTGAATCTTTAAGCGCCGAATTTATAGTCGTTCCTCGAATCTTCCTTGGAGTCGCGAATTTAGAATGGACACTTGCCACTATTTGACAAGTCAGTCATGTCAATTCTAAACGTTCAAGGCTTTCTTAAGGTCTGAGGAAACCTCAAGGACCTACAATAAATTCGGCCCTAAATCGACTTTCTGTTTAAATTTTGATTTGCTTTTTCACATTCAAAAGGATAAATATCCGAGTGTATTGATACGTGCCTTTGCAAATTACCTTTTTCTTTAAATTTTGCATTGCAAATATCACATTCAAAAGGATAAATATCAGAATGTGTTAGTTTGTGTCTCTTCAAATAATCTTTTCCTTTAAATTTTACTTTGCAAATGTCACATTTAAAAAGATAAATATCCGAGTGTGTTGAAATGTGCCTCTGCAAATCACCTTTTTGTTTAAATTTTGCATTGCAAGTGTCACATTCAAAAAGATAAATATCCGAATGTGTTAGTTTCAATGACCTATTATCACAGATAGACAGAGCATTCCATTCATAAAATACTATTTGTTGTGTTGACAACATGTTTATGGGCCAGGGGGGATTTGGGGTGCGGGCGGTCCATGGTGGGGATAAGTCGCCCGATCTAAGTCCGGCCTCAATAGCTGTTCCCTGCCATGGAGAGACCCAATTGATCCCGCCCCAAAACCAAAACGATGATATTCGAAAAGTATTCCAGACTAACACGAACATATCTTATTTATCGGTCTTTTTTTAATATTATACTAATTATCATCGCATAAAATAGAGACAACAAGACACTCTGGGCGAGAACGGAACGTATTACTACGAGAAGCAGGAGGCCGATATTAGTCTAGTGCTGTGTTGCCAAGTGTAATTGAAAGCCAGGACTTTATACCTGCGTTAGAAAGAGAAAATAAATATTCCTACGATTAAATGTGGCATTTTAGTAGTGGGGGACTTTGGTCAGGATAGAAAGAATCGGAGATGTTGTCAACAGATATTTTTGTTTATAAATCCGTCTATCTGTGATAATAGGTCATTGGTTAGTTTGTGAATCTTTAAAATGTGTTTCCGTTTGAATTTTGATTTGCAAGTGTCTCATTCAAAAGGATAAATATCCGAGTATGTTGATACGTGTTTTTGCAAATTATATGGTATGCTGGGTTCGGTAATTGAATCTGCGAGCGAAGTGAGCAAAATTTGACAGATGTCATGTGATTTGACACGTGAAAAGGGATAAGTGATCACGTGAAGTCTTTCAAAATTTGCTCATTTCACTCGCAGATGCAATTACCGAACTCAGCATACCATATAATTTGCAAAGACACGTATCAACACACTCGGAAATTTATCCCTTTGAATGTGGCACTTGCAAATCAAAATTCAAACGGAAACACGTTTTAAAGATTCACAAACTAACACTTTTTTTGTTTTCTTTATTTGAATGTGACACTTGCAATGCAAAATTTAAACAAAAAGGTAATTTGCAGAGGCACATTTCAACACACTCGGATATTTATCTTTCTAAATGTGACATTTGCAAAGCAAAATTTAAAGGAAAAGATTTTTCGAAGAGACACAAACTGACACATTCTGATATTTATCCTTTTGAATGTGAATTTGCAATGCAAAATTTAAAGAAAAAGGTAATTGGCAAAGGCACGTATTAACATACTCGGATATTTATCCTTTTGAATGTGACAGATGCAAATGAAAATTTAAACGGAAAGGCGATTTAAAGATTCACAAACTAACACATGCTCTTGTGAATTTTAGAGTTCTGATCGGGATAGGACAACACTCGACTTGTACATAATGCTCGTTTTAATTTTCTACATATGGAATCGTATTCTTGAGTTCAATTGAATGTTGACTTTTCTTTCGTTAATCGATGAAGCGGAGCAGCTGTATTAGGGAATCCTTCTACAAATCTTCGATGATAAGAACACAATCCTAGAAAACTCCTCAGTTCATGTTTGTCGCGTGGTTTTGGCCCATCTCTGACAGTATCTATCACTCCTTTCATAACTTGTATGCCAACTTCAGATAACACGTGACCTGAGAGTTCCACTTTCTTTTGAAATAGAAAACACTTCTTTGGATTGAGTTTTTAAGTTGGCATTCTGGAAGCGGTCAAAAACTTGTTTCAGGTTATTGAGATGTTCTTGGAATGAATTTCCCATGATCAGACATCATCCAAATATACCAGGCAAGTTCTCCATGTAATAAATTTCTTAACCAAAAATAAATGGAAGCATTTGAAAAAAATGCTTATGCTAAAGTCACCAATATAAGCATTACATTCAAACTTACATTTATCCAGCTGAATGGGTCACTGAATGTCACTTTAAACAAATTCTCATTTGAGTGTGTTAATAAATGACTCTTTAAATTGTATTTAATTTTTGAAATTTTTCAGTGCAAGTGTTACATTCAAATAGATAAATATCCAAATGTGTTAGTTTGAGAATCTTCCAATCGCTTTTCCGTTTAAATTTTGATATACAAGTATCACATTCAAAAAGATAAATATCAGAATGTGTTAATTGGTGACTATTCAAATTACCTTTCTGTTTAAATTTTGCTTTGCAAGTGTCACATTCAAATGGATAAATATCCGACTGTGTTAGTTTGTGAATCTTTAAATTGCCTTTCCGTTCAAATTTTGATTTGCATTTGTCACATTTAAAAGGATAAATATCCGAGTTTTTTTGCTCATGTCGCTCGCAGATGCAATTACCGAACTCAGCATACCATATAATTTGCAAAGACACGTATCAACACACTCGGATATTCATCCTTTTGAATGTGGCACTTGCAATGCAAAATTTAAACAAAAAGGTAATTTGCAGAGGCACATTTCAACACAGTCGGATATTTATCTTTTTAAATGTGACATTTGCAAAGCAAAATTTGAAGGAAAAGATTATTTGAAGAGACACAAAATAACACATTCTGATATTTATCCTTTTGAATGTGAATTTGCAATGCAAATTTAAAGAAAAAGGTAATTGGCAAAGGCACGTATCAACATACTCGGATATTTATCCTTTTGAATGTGACACATGCAAATCAAAATTTAAACGGAAAGGCGATTGAAAGATTCACAAATTAACACATTCGGATATTTATCTATTTGAATGTAACA